TATATATATATATATATATATATATATATGCACCTACGCACATGCATATTCACATGTACTATACGTCCTCTTCGCGGCAAGTAGTTGCACAGGCACATTGATAAAAACCCTACGGCCCAACATAGTCATACTCAGTTAACTACCTTCACTCCATGAATATGTAGTTTGTGATGCAGTAAATTCCTATAAATCCTGCATCCAACTGCCATTTTCAAACGCTACGGAAAGCGTATGAATAGACGTTCAATTGGGCCTGCCTGGCATCCCCGCACAAAATGAAGTATATTTGTACACCAAAAGTGGATAAATGGGCAAATGGGTTAGTAGGCAAATGCGCGTAGGCCAGGATTTTACACAGTATCTACCAGGAGGCACAAACAATAGGGCAGAATCAGTAGCACAGCGGTAACCACACCGGGGGAGGAAACGAAGGAAGTAATGAAATAAACAAAGCACACACTACTCTACCTGTAGGTGCCTTCAGCGTAGCCCCGCCAGTACAGCGTCGAAGCATACTTCTCTCCCGCCTCCAAATCAACAATCATGTCGGTACACTTCATTTGCATCCACATACCCCCCATCCTCGCCATCTACCAAACACAAACAACAGCAAAGGCAAGAATAAAATCAGCAACAGCGCCGTTGGCGTAGTATCAGAAACAGCAGTAGCTTATGCAGCAAAGCACCTTCTCAATTTCGGAGGTTATGCTAACAGAACTGCACCATCGCGCACTTCCACTAAGCAGACCGCCTGCCTACCCCGGCATTAATACAGGATGCATATACGTTCATAGCTTCGTTTCAGACTGAAAGTCTTGTGTCACGCACGCACTTAGCACTCCAACATTAAAGCCTAAGGTTTAAGTTTTTGCGATAAAACTTGAGGGCTTAGAAGAGCTAAACCGAGTGGTACCGGAAACTTCATGCGGCAAACCGGAGATGTTTCGCACACATGTATGTGTATAAGAACGTATAACCACGTCTACAAGCACACATATATCGCTGAAGATCTAATATAAATAACCGCTGTGCAAGTGCATGCACGCATATTTCCTACAATATATCCGCACGCGTGCACACAAGCAAAACGTGAGTGCATATGCATGCTTGCATACGATGTGTTAGTTACCACAGAGCCCACGCACGCATGAACGAAGCAACGTACCAAGACGGCAGCAGCGGCATCGACGGCTCCGCCCCACTGAGTGGTCTGCTGTGCCGATTTCAGGGGCTGGACCGTCGCCCTGATGATGTCCTTGACCTCGGCTGCGGTGACATCTGAGTTGGCTTTCTTGAACACGCCGAACACCAATGCTCCTACGCCTGCCAGAGAAAGAGGTGCAGGCGCAGAAAAACCTCACTAACCCCAGAGATTCAGGGCAGGGCACGTGTGAATGTGTAGGGACAGTGTACGCTCAGGAAACAACCCGCACACACGCCATTTGCCAAATACAACCCAGAAACAGCAACGAAACGAAGAAACAAAGGCGGTATTCCGCTCACAACGATTCTGCAAGGCTAGGGCAAATCCTAGGGAACTGTACGTGTACTGCTCTGGCACATCCGCGTCACCACACTAGGCACACCAGCGCACAAGCGTCTCATGATGGCACCGTGTTTCTATCATCTAGGCTAAAATCCCGTAATTCCCTGCTGCAACATGAAATTGTTGTGTACAGACAGCCAAGGCAGATGGCAGGGACTCGCGGATTGCGGTCCTCTATTTAAATACCAATACAAACAGAAGAAAATGAAGATGAAGCAGCGCAGGAGCCGGAAATGTGCTTAGATTAACCCATTGTACTATTATTGAATCGCAATATGAACAAGGTACTACGAAACCCTCACGCATTTGCCTTGCTCAAATCACTGTCCGTCAAGCATTTGCCTCAAACCTCCACAAATCTTATCTCTAGACCATCAGCGCTAAACCCTACCCTCTAAGCTACCGAATTCCAGAACTTTAGTAGATGACACATTTAAAAGCCTGCAGATGCCATAACCTGAAAGCCAGATCCCGCAGTGCAATTGTTTACTGGCCCACCAGCTCCTCACCAGAAACATGTGGCGCAGCCATGGAGGTTCCTGAGAGGAAGGCAAAGCCATCGTCGAGGTAGGTCGAATATATTCTGTCTCCAGGTGCTAGTAAGGAGACGCTGTTTTTGCCATAGTTGCTGAAGGAGGCCAAGTTACCATCAGCGTCATACGCGCCTACACTGGAAACGAAGCAATGCACCCAAGTTTAAAGTAAGACCGAACAACGAAGTTGGCTACAATGTACATGAAGAAACTAAAAAACCCTAAAACATGAATTACGAGAACTGGGAAAGGTGAAAACGGAGCAAGAAGCAACAGAGCTAAAAACAAGTACACGGAGAGGGCGACTAAGGTATCTGGTAGTGAAGCCTTGGCCAAGTTGTACGGTTGGTTGCATCGGCGGTAGAAACGCAGTGCACAAAAATAGTGTCCAATGAACATGGGGGTTAGAGGGTAGACACACTGACAGGGAAATGCAGAGGGGTAAACACGAACGCAGGAGCTTCCACCGTGGCCAAAACAAGTACATAAACAAGTGCAACCAGAGCGAATGAGCACAAACAAACACAGGGACCCAAACCAATACAAACGCAGATGGAGGACAAAACTCAGGAAGCAATGGCACTGGGGAAAACAACGACGGAGAGAGAACGGCAGCAAAAAATGCACACGTGCAAGGACAGCCATAGACCTAAAATGCCCGCGACCTGCTGTTGTGAACCCCTCCTTCTCAACAAAAGACGAATGCATGTCGTGCATACGCTATTCTATTCCAAATAAAGGTAATACAAGACGCGCACATGCATATATGCAATGAAACGGAACGATGTCCACCCAAAGCGACACCCGGCAATACAGCTGTGCATTGGTCTCACGAAATCGTATTCGAGTAGTCGAAGTTTGCCGGGTAAAAGGGCTGAAAGTCATTGTTGCTGCTGCTGTTGCCAGCCGCATTAACAATCAGAATACCTAGCCCTCCCCGCATATGGCGAGACCGCTCTATCAACAACTGCAACGATGCCGTGGTCTCTGGTGCACCCCAACTGTTGTTTATCACTGAAACCCCCTTCACCATCGCGTAAGCCAAACCCCGTACGGCGTCCCCTATTGAACCCTGTAACAAGCATCAAAATCACCAAATCATAAACCACTAATCCCTGTGGCACGAGCGTTCAAAACTAAATGCTGTAGCGAAGACTCTCCGGCCAGAAGTATGATTAAAATGATCCCGTTAGAAGATGCTGGCAGACTGTAGCTATCACTTCTAGAAAAAAAATACAGCAACACCAGCAGGAGATGCTGGTGCTTCTGTGTTAATTTGGATAAGATGCTGACCGTCCCGCTGGAGCCAAATTGCTGTATTTTCATAAGGGAGACTAGCGGTGCACAGCCGACGATGTCTCTGTTGTTCGCCACGCCTCCTACCGTACCTGTTCACCACATACTGACATTCGGCGTACCGCGCATACAGTACACTTACACACATTTGAATAACAGCAGCCAGAACACCTAAGTGTTAAACGCACGTACGCACACGTAGAAAGTAAAACATTCTTTCCAGGTGCGTAGGTTTGTTGACATGCAACTGAACATTATCACTTTAAGCTGAAGTGAGAGTGAGCCGTAGGCCTTCAAAGAACTACTTGGGCCTACACCATATAGGGACCCTTGATAGGTAGATCCTGGCACCTTAGACCGGCAAAGCATCCTTACCAACAGACAGGAACTGGAGATGTAAGGTGAGCGCTTACCTCAGTCTATTTGCCTCTGTTAGTGCAGCTCCATCGGTGAGTGTTTGTGTATTCCCGCAAAAGTGCTTGTTTGTATCTGCCTGTTGAAGTGCGTGAGCTATGATGTTTGGGCATATAGGTTACTCATGTTAGTGCAACATGTAATGCCACACCATACTTGCAGAAACGTCAAGGATGTGATATCCTATCAATAGCATATGGATGTGATGTGCAGTAGTACGGGCGATGGCGTATGCGCAGCTGGCCCGAAGCTTGTCAGCGACTGTGAATGTAGCGGTAGTGAAGACGTATATCAACTGATGTGCACTTAGTTACTGGCTTGTGTTAACACCTCAGCTGCAGCGTTGATGTGCATGCACCGCTGACCTGCCACATGCGTGCCGTGTCCATTTGTATCGACGACACGATTCGAGTCATCAGCAAAATTCCAGCCCTCCGTGTCGTCTATGAAACCATTATCTGACGTTTGGAAGAGCACAATGCGCAAACCGAACCTAAGAAGTATTTTCAAGACGAACAGGAATTGTTCCTCCCGAAGAAAAAGAATAGAACCTTTGGAAATGCAAGGTATAGTAGGTGTGGTCAGGAAGGAGTAAGCAACAACTTCAGGAGTACTTGGGTTATGGATGACCAGTTTCAGAATACTCACAGTAAGGCTAATACAACGAAACAAACCATGCACAGTGACATTCACAATCTAGACACTGAACGGCAGCAAAAAGTGGATGAAATATCCATGAAGAGGAGCACGTAAAACTGTGCTGCAATGAAAAGCAACAAAGGCGACAAGCAGGAGCAACCCAGTACACGTATTTTGACGCAGAAACTAACAACGTAATACGGCACAACATTAGTAAGGCCTAAATGGGGACCTACTGTCGTCATCCTGTCCATCGATTGTCTCAAGGGGATTGTGCCAAATGTTCTCGTCTAAGTCGGAATGGCCCGCTACGCCCGAGTCGATTACTGCCACCTGCCAAAAACGAATCAAGCAGTACGCAATCCATGAGCGAAAGAAACACGGAAAACTGCAAATTCTATTCTAACACATGAACCAGTTCACCAGTGGACCCGACATGGACACAAGTCAGCCGAACACAATATCTCATGTGAACCCAGAAAAGACACGAACAATGGAAAAGCAGTTCGGCAGATGAGTGAAATGACAGTGACAGAAAACACCTAGCAGCCGAGCAATCACGCAAGCGCACACACGGCACTACAGATTCAGTGCGTGGGAAAACGCTATAAGTAAGTTTATTCCCTCCCAAGGCACCAGGCCAGAGCTGTTTATGGGTTGGAGGAGGGCAGGGCAACGAAGGAAAGCGACCGTCTACGCTCACCACAATCTCCTTGTGACCCTTCTCTCCATGCATCCAGGCGTGCACACAGTGCGCGCTGAACATTCCCCACAGGCGTTTTTCTAAATCGGGATCCTGAGGGACGCGGGCAGACACCGGAGAGTCCTCGTCCTCTGCAGAACACAGCGCACATCCGAAAACGTCAGTCGGCAGAAACACAACGACAGAAAACGAATTGCAACTGGAAAACGGCATAGCTGTGCTGCGATCGGTAATGGCGCCTAACGCCACACAGCACGTTCCAGAAAGGCATAATGTAGAGCACAAGTACAACAGGAATAAGGACAAAAGACGCCACACCATGAGGGAGAAGGCAAATAATAAATAAAGCAATAATAGAAATAGGCAGAAAGCAGAGAGACCCTACAGCAGAATGAGCAAGAAATCATAGTACCTCACCAATGATAGGCGGAACACACAGAAACAATCGACAAGGGAAGAAACAAGCGAACAGATGGCGAAAAAGCCCCTCCAAGTACGCATGCAAGAAAGCCAAATGCTCTCATGGCAAGCACCACTAGGGTAGGGCTGGAGGCCTTCACACCCAGGAGGTGACGGATTCACTTAACCACTCTGAGTAACTAATACTAGTACTTAAAGGCAGCCAGTGCGTGAAATATGATGGCTACCCTATAGCTGTGCTGCTAGCTCCCCTCCCATTTAAGTCCTCAGCCGCCAACTCAGGTGCACAGAGCTGAAAATCTACTCTCTCGACCGTAAACATACAAGGCACTTTTGCACGCTTGGCTGCTACGTCGTCAATTGAACATCCATCCCAATGCACAGAAGAAATCATCTAACCCTATGTACCTGACAAAAGGCGTGTTCTTGCCGTTTCCTCGGCTGAGCACTGGGCTTGCAGGGCCTCCTTAGCCTGCACGAAGGCCCACCGTTCCAACAACCCCTTGGGTGGTGCGGGAAGCCCTTCTCCCGCAGGAACCATTTGAAGCGAAGTCTGTATACACAAGAATATAAGGCGCAGCAACGCCTACACCTTAAACTTAAATCGTGAACTCTATTCCGTATGTTCTAGACCCTAAACCTCAAACCAGACTCCATCGCGAAAACCGTGTAGATTACATGACTAAAAACCAGCCCATGCCATAGCCAAGGCATTCCCGGCAGAACGTCACCAGGACCAGCAGATCTTATGACGTAAAACCCGTAGCTCAAATCCTGAACCCCACCAGATGAACTCGAACACAGCCTCACCGGCTTTGCAAGTTCAAAAAAGAGAATGCTCCGTCCTTCTAAGAGCAATAACTTCGACAAAACCATCTGCACCTCGCCCTTGTCTGACAAATCTAAACAGATCAGAGCACTCAACGCCCTTGATTCGCAGTCATAGCCCACAATAACCCGAACCCTAGACCCCAAGGCAGAACTTTCGAGCTGCTGCCTAAAACATATGCTACCTCCCTTGCATTTTCCCGGGGGTTTTAAATGGATCGCTACGTCTTGCATGCATACACCCTAGGTGGATACAGTTCAAGAGCTAATGCTAGTCTTAAATCTTGCGCGGCAGCTCATATTGAGTACCTGCAGTAGGTGGGAACTGCAAGATGATGACGTCGACGGCCTCTAGAATTTCACAAGAGAAATTTCTCCTGTCCTTCAGCACCGAAAGAAGGTCTTCGCATGTCTGCATTATCCGCGCTGCCCCCGCAGATGTCTGCATGAAGCTGACAGCCTCCCCCTCTGTTTGTATCTCGTTCTTCTCGCTGTTTCCGTCAAGAGGGCTGGCAAAGCAAACAACTAAATCGACTGCCCATCCATCCAGCCCGCAAGCCGATACAGTCGCAACAAACAAGCATCAAAACATTCCCAACAAACAAACATCCAAACAGAGGCACGCAAAGCACCAGTTAAGCACCCTAGACAAGGCTCACTTCAACTAATTCCCTCGTCACCAGAGTTTGTGTCCCTCCATTCTATCTGTGCGACCTCCCCTGTTAGGTCCCCCTGCGCTCCCTGTCCCATCGATTAGCTCTTTACAACATACTACTACCCAGTTTCTCCGTGTTCACTGCTCCTCCACGCTAACAATCTACAGCTCCCTCTGCAGAAGACGCTGACTTCTGGCACAAGAATTAGCGTCTATGATTTCCCATGATCGAAGATTCTATTCTCAAACCCAGATAGAGCGCCGGCTCCTCATTTTGCTCAATGTTCGCTTACGAGGGCTATTTGGGAGTTTCCTTCTGTGTCTGCGCATTTGCTTTAGAATAGAAGTAACATAATCTGCAGTTTTTGCCGCTGCTTCTGCAGCGGCCGTTGCGTCTTCACCGTCTTGCTCCTGTAGGAACGAAGCTGGACCCGAGAAGCCTCTATAGTAAGAGTTCGTGTAGGAGGGTATGGAAGCCTTGAATTTGGCGTTGACCGTCTTCATCACAACTGTGAGGGGTTGCCCTGTTGTGTTGCTCAATAATAGGCGTCGCTCCAGGAACCTCCCTTGCTTTTTTTGGTATTCCACATGTACTGGCCCCGTGCATGCCGAGTCCAAGTACGAGGCATCGATGAGGACGCCCCCCACCTCCAACACACACTCCGTTTTCCGTGCGACAGAGTCTTCTGCTTCTAATCCAGCTGCCCTTTGAGAATCCGACAGGCCCCCCCGAGGACTAAGCGGCTGCCATGGAAAGTCAGGAGAGTCCTCCGAGGCCTCGTTCAGCTCCCACGACGTAGCGGATGGTGAGGTACTCCTTGAATGGCCAAACTGACCTCGTGCTGCTAAACATAACAAACCCCAGAATCTGCAGCTTGGAAGGGAGTCGCCCCCACATCTTCCGTATGTAGCTAACCCTCATCCGGTTAATATCCCCAATCAGCTAGTCCCAAATCGTACACCAGAAATCACTGCCCCCACCCACTCCCAAAAGCATGGATACCCAAGGCTTTAAAAGATAACCACGGTTAAGTGTGATCCTCGGCACTCCTCAGGAGCTTACTAGTGTGGTCAAGACGGGAGTCAAGACTGCTCCACCCTGCATGCCAGAGAGCCTCTTGTCCATGTCTTCTTTTCCTTCTACTGCCGTGTTTTCTGGTGTACCTGCTGTCTATAATGCTGTCGTCTGTGCGGCTTTTGGCATCCGTGCTGCCGGAGTTGCCACTGTCTGCTGTGGGCCATCTCCTAATCGATCCCGATTCCGACTCCGAAGCTGCCCCCCGCTGAGCTGCGGCATCGGGGGCTTGGGGCGAAGTCGAATTGCTCGGGGAGTTGGGGTCCTGTCTTACCTGACCGTTGTCTTGAGAAGAGGAAGAAGGCGACTCAGTGCCTGAGCTAGGGCCGTCTCGGCTCCCTCCAACTCTCCGTTCAAGCCATCGTTGATACTTCCCGCTGCCGCTCATACGACTGCTCCCCCGTTGTTCTTCTTCTGCTACTTGATCTGAGCCAGTTTTGAGACTAGACAAAGGGGTACTTACTTCCTCTCCTTCTGCCGAGGCTTCTCCTGCTCCTGCTGCAACATCCTCCGTCTGCTCAGGGTGCTCCTCCGCAGCCTTATCGAGCATTGGTATTCCCACGAAGTCCTCAGGCAATCCATCATGTTCCAATTTCTCCGCCTCTGTTGGCTCCTGCCCTGAATGCAATGGATTCCATGTCCATACAGAGGGGCTGCCACTTGGGGGTGCATGCAATTTGATGTCGTCATGCAGCAGCGAACCACCTACACTGTTGGCTTCCGGAAAACCGTAAAACATGTGCTCGTTGATCCCCTGTTTCCTCTCCCGATGTAAGGAAGGGTGGCTAACATCATCAGCAGAAATTGCGACACTAGAAACAGCAACCGACGCAGCAGAGGCTACAGACGCAGCAGACGCTCCATGAGAAACAGCAGCCGCTTCAACGGGTGCTGTAGCCAGCTCGGAAGAGGTGTGTGATCCCTCGTTCGGTCGTAACCCGGTACGCTGCCCTTGGAGGTCTGGCTTATGAAATGTACCGGCATCCTGGGAAATGTCTATAATCTGGGTTTTCTCTCCCAAGGGACCACTGCCAGGAAGTTTGTCGGGCGGCGGCTTGTGGTTCTGGAAAGGATCTTGAGGCAAAGATACATTTGTTGGATGATCCTCAAGGGATGACAAGACAGGTCCGTCAGTTAGAGCCCCCTGGAAAGTACTCGAGACCCCATTTCGAGAAAAACCCGAAACAGGGTCTACACACTGGGATGCAAGGGAGAGGACAGCAGCGCCGAACAAACGAAGAGCCGCTCGTAACTGAATAATCTGCATATTACCAGTCCACCTTTAGACACGGCCCCTTATTTTGAAAGCACGGAGGTATTAAACGCCGAGAGCATCAGGAAGCAAACTTTCAGCAGGGGGAATTGGCAGTCGAGCCTCGAGCCGTCCAGCCACGAGTTACTACTCAGGCAAGCGTCCAGCTTCTGTACATCTTCTTCTACCGTTTTTGACACTCACAATTAAGTGTTTTGTTTTCAAGGAGAAGGGCTATGAAAAGCAGAAGGAGCGGTCTAGTCTTCCTCCCGTACTCTCAGAGACCACAAGTGAACCATTCGCCAGGAGGCCCTACAGATGCAAAACGAATTGATCAAGACAGAAGCATCTAATGAGGCGTAGTGGCAAATACAAAATTAACTTGAACGTTGAGGTTGCGTTGTGAAAATTCAGGCTGTGGATATGCATGTGAATCTACAAAGCGCGCCTGTTGCTTCCAAATGCGTAACCGCAGAAGGCATCTTCACTACTTACTGCGGTTCGGCAATGGAGAATTGGTGTTTTCTCAGTGTACCGTAGGAGGGAAGCCTCACCACCTATTTAGAACGTTGTTAAGAGGGAACGTTTGAAACGAATGTGCGGATGTTTAGCCATTTGGGTGGGAAGCTGTTGTCGCGACTCTGCGTTTCAACTTCCCAGAGTTTGTGGGGTGCCAAGTCCAAACAGGGCTCAGAGGACTCAGCTTCTGCGGAGTCAAAACCCACCATTTTTATAACCTTCCCATGTATAACCGGTGGGGGAAGCCTGGGACAGTTTTTAGTAGAAGTTTCCTGGTGCTGGGTGCAGCGGTGGTCTCTACGCTTGGAACGTGTTGCACCCTACTTTCTGCGTGGTCATTTGATTCCCAAGAAGATTGGAACTTCGCCAGTTTAAACTTTCACTGGGCTTCAAATTGCTCCAGAAAGCCCTTGTGTTGCAGTTGATGATCTTGAGGCGCAGGATACTCACATTCCACCAGAAAGCGGAACTGCACAAAATCGGCAGAAGCTGCTGTTGCGTAACTGAACATGGCAGAAGCCCTTGGGTAGTTCAATCAGAGGCTGTTATATCCCTACTAAATGAAGCGACTACTCACAGGAATAGCCACGCCTCTAGAGAGTGCAAGCAAAAGCCATGCAGCTCCCAGTAAGTATTTCATATGGGGCTCATTCATATGGGGTTTTCTCGCGTGCCCCTTAGACAAGCTACTAATTGTCTACACACCTAGCCAAAGCAAAAAGTTCGTATGAGGAATAAGGCTTTGCTAGGCATAGAAACAATAGGAGGAGCCAATAGTGAGTTAGTCGCTTGCCCCATCTGGTGGGTAGTTTGTTGCTTCTACCGTGTCTAGATATCCTTAAAAACTGCAGTTCTCTGAGAAGAAACCTGCCCATAAATATAATGACAAATTAAAATTACAGGGTCCAAACCCTAAAATTCAATGCTTTCGTCCTTCAAACGTTCCAACACTCTGCGATTGAGCGGCGGCCGGTGCCCCCTTTGTTCTACTGAAAACAAAAACGACGAAATGCATGTGTTTCTACACAACAATCAGCCTAGCGGATTCATCTAGTACTGCCAAATCGTCTAGATCGTCACCCATTGTTCTTGCTGCTGCTGCTGCGGACGTCTGCTGCTGCTGAAAGTCCCACGCATCCAAGTAATGGGGCACCGCTCGTTGGCATGTAGCTCCATAGACCAAACACAGCAGGACGCCGACTGCAGTACAGACACAAAAACGCATCTATGTAGCATACCAATAGAAGCATGCACAGATATATGCGTGAATCGTCCAATGTGCGACCGATGAGTAGGCGCTCACTAGTGCAAGTGCAAGGTGCAACTGCTTATCCACATGAATTCTAGGAAGTTCTGCAGTGCACTGCAGGAGGGAAAGCACACGGGTGCTGAATATTCGTGCAAACAACAGGCCGATGGCCTCTGATGCTTCATTATGCATTCAGCAAGGGGCCCCAGAGGGCAACAGCATGCAAACGTCTGCTCTAAATCCTAACTCTTGGAATTCAGCCAGACGCCGCTTACCGAGGAAGCACCAGTTGCTACCGTATAGCAACGAAGCGAGTAAGGGTGTCGCTGCTCAATTCAACACACACAAGCAACTGCAGTTGCAACCCTTTATACCCCTAGTGAAGACCAGCCTAGATATGAGTGCAACTGAAGCAGACAGCATAAAGCGTTGCACCAGGGCTGCTCACCGAAGGCCAATCGAGAAAGAGCGGCAGCAAACACAGTGAGGCGGCACGAGGTGCCGGCTGCTGCCGCATGCAGAGAACATTTGATGGGATCTGACCCGTTCTGCAGCAAGACAGCACCAGCAGGAGCACCAGCGACACCACGCTGGATCCCAGAAGCTCAAAAGCTTAGGAGAGCTCGAAATGTGTTGCATAGCCTCACTGATAAGCTAATCGTATTCACGGACTGGCCGGCTACATCGGTAATTAGAGCGTATTTCTAACTAAGCGGAATTGTAAGTCAGCTTGCGTTGTCATACATACCCAACGACTGGCTGTCTGGGTTAGCTATGTTGATTAGGCCGCTAGCCGAATTAACTAACTAACAGGGCGTCGACTGCACCAAGTTGCTCACTTGGGGGACAAAGGTTTGGTTGCCGAATGATGCATATTGCGGGGCCGCCTGAGCATATGAAGCAAAAGGCAGAACGGTTACTGTTGTTCTAGTGTGCAGGTGCTGCAGCTGCCCATCTTCAGTTTAGGCAGTGCTGTTGCTGTTGCTGACCACGTGGTCACTTCACGGAGACACTAAAACAACAGTAACCGTTAAGTTGGTAGCAAAACCGACAAGCAGCAAGAGCATCTACAGAGAAAAACGACAGTCCAAGCAGCTGCAGCAACAACAGCAAAACGCGGATGCCATACCGTAAAAAGGCAAAGACCCGCAGCCAGAATGAGATGTGCTAGCAGTGAAGATATAAGCAGCAGCACCTGCGCCATATGCAAGCAACAGCCGTGGTGCCAATACCGTACCTTCTACCCGATTCATGCGATAATTCACTAGACCCAGAATTCTGCAAAGCACAGCCCTACACTAGGCCCCCAGCATCAGCTGGTAAGAGACCCGCGAGATCCTCGAGGCTTTGCGCACTTGATTTGTTGCTGATGCACTTGTTGTGGCTGTCTCAGCTGCACGTGTTGCTACGATGCTACTGCTGTCTTTTCTGTCCTTCCTGCCGGTGTTGCTAAGCTGCCTCTTATCACTGCGGCTGCTGATTGTTCCAACTGCAGTTGAGGCACTGCAAGGCCCCATTTCAGGCCGACCTGGGGGGAGCTCGATCCTCCTTTAACAATAACACGCCGCTGCCATTCGCGGAGTCTCTTGTGTCTGGCAGTGCATATGGGCAGCAGCCGAACCACGCCATACAACGCCCCCAGCAGCAGCAGCAGCAGCCAGCCGCAAACCAACCACAGGTCCCCAGGGGGATACTAAGTCACAGCGCAACGCAACAAGACAAAGGGAAATGCTGATTGCATTTCGAAATGCTGTCCCCTTGTTCGATTTGGTACTCTTCGTCGTTTATGTATAAGTAGTGCACAAACGCCCGGCAAAAACAAGCATCTGCGCATTCTACAGACCGGCACCCACTGCAGAAAGAAACAACAGGATTGCATCTGCAGGCGTTGGAGGGCCGTCAGTGTTGGGGGCTGCGAAGCCGCAGCGCCATCCGCACGCAGAGGCCCCCAGCCTCCTTATGAGGACTGTGCCTAGCGACACTAGCAGCAGCAGCAGTAGAAGGAGCAGAAACAAGCCCAAAAGCTGCCGAAAGGGTAGCAGCAAATGACGGAACACCGAATAGGCTGAACGAGTCCCTTCTTCTGCTTCCTGCACCACAAAAACCCCCCATACAATCTAGCCAACAACCTCGATGGCCTCAGGCCTATAACCATGACCTCTTGTCTTGCCGTTTGTAGGGTCTCTGTGTTCAACTCCATCCCTCTAGAAGGTGAACCCTCAAATGAGCTTGGGAACACTGGCTGAGTACGCACGACTTGCTGTAACTAACTGTTACGGACTGGCAAGTTCACAAAAGTAGGTGACATCAGAGGCTATTTGATGCATTTAACATTCAATGAGCGTTTTCAAACAAGAGTAGATGACAGCAACCGCAGCCACGCCCAACTTGGTACTGGTGAATGTATTCCTCCAACTAAATTGCGGAAGCTAAACAGCATTATGCTAAAATGACCAAACATAATACAGGATACTTAATATTGCCTGGGCAGGTTATTTGCTACCGACCGACATTCGTATAAGTCCATTATCAAGAGGCATCACATGGTACTGTCAAGAAGACCCCATACCTGCAACTTGTACTTCCTTTCGCTGCAGATGCGTTGCTGCGCGCGCAGATGCTGGAAGGTCTCGGTATCTAAGGGGCTCATTTTGCGGCCGCCAGCATATTTGTTCTGCAGTGCAAGCCAAGCGCAAGCAAGTTCTGGGGAGTTGAAATTTCTAGTTACACTAGCAGCCGAGCTCCATTTTCGGGCTATGAATATTTTGACGACGCAGACACAGTTTTGACACAGTTTTGCTGTCTGGGATAGCTTGTTTCACTTAAAAGTATAGAATCATGCTTGCGCACATCCTCCCCTGCTTCCTGGTCCCCTGGTTACTTGGGCAACTACATTTCACACTTTTGCTTACTAAGCTTGTGCCTCTTCACTAAACTGTGCAACCGGGAGTACTGCGCATTTTTGTTGCTAAGACAGTCCAAATGTTCATATACTGTGAAAAACGAAGGAGAACGCGATTTTCTGGACGCAACAGGCCCCTACTGTGTATTCAAACTCCTATCTTGCAGGCTACTACAAGCGTGCACACATCTGACATAGGCAGTTGCAATTATACATATGTTCGCCACATATATCTACTCATTGGAGCGTGCTCATCATGAACTGGGTGAACTGCGCGTTTGTGTGCTTGATGCATCATGGCCCACCTGGAGCAACCGCTGCTGTTCGCGGATTGCTGCTATTGCGTGCTCCAATTGCTGCTGCTGCTGCTCAGTGGAAGGCCGACGTTTAAGCCACGCCAATGGGAGACAGGCCACGCCGAAGGCCCCAAAAATGATCCACACCCCCTGTGCTGCAGCAGTAACAACAGCGAGACGCAGCAACACCGAACAAATAGAAACTGCAGGAGTTTCCAAATGCATACACACGAGCAGATGCACATTCAGACCTGTGTACCTTTAATGCTGTACCTACCAGTGTTTTCATCACTGAATTGGTATCCCCACGGTGGTAACTTACAAGCCGGTGTGTGTATGCCCATTTCTTGCACGGCTACTTTACGTGTGTTTGCACCTTGTATACTACGATAGTTCCACAAATTCGTTTCACAGGTGTGCTCTTGTGTTTCCGTGTATTCGTATCCGTGTGTGCCTTCGACCCCACGCATTTTCATACATATCACTGCATTCTAATGCTTGTGAGAATGTCTCTGCGGCTTTGCCTTCCCACACCTTCAGGTAGCATTTTATCTACATGCCTGCAGATGGCTTTACGAATTCGTCTCCTTATAGCTTTGCTTCTTTGTGCCTTTGTGCCTTGGTGTATACATGTCTATGCCCCACTAAGTCTCACCCCCACAAAGAAAGCAGGCTCCGAGATACAGTAGAGAGTCCACTCCTGCCTTATGAACCCCCAGCAGCTGAGCTGTGTACAGTTGTACGGCATCCGAGTCCACGCGCTGTGCTGCTGCTGCTGCTGCAGCGGCAGCTGCACTAGCCGTGGCTGCAGCCGCAGAAGCTGCTGCTGCGGCTGCAGCCATTAGGCCAGCAGAGCTCCTTTCATCAGGACTAACTCCCTGCTGCTCCTGCTGCAAACGTTGCGGTGGCGCAACAGGCTCCTCGGGCCTCAAAAAAGCTGGGGGAGGCATGCCAGGCCTCACTGCCAGCAGCAGCAAAAGCAGCACACACGCAGCCACAACGAATAAAACAGTCTTCTTCAGCGCTGCAAAAGAAGCCTTATAAGAAAACGCTTCAAGTTCATCTATGTCCTGCAGCTAAAAGGACAAGCACACACCTACAAAACAACTTTTCGTGGAGGCTGTATGCATGCATTAAATACGCATTACCATACACAAAATCACATGCGTAAAATTTTTAGAGGGCATGTGTGTGTACAAACACACCACTGCAAATGCAGGTGTTCATGGAATGCCGTCCCGAGCGCAAAAACAACACAGTACACTAAGTACACACAAATACAATTTAAATTGTGCAGTTGATGCAAATGTGAGCCATTATAATACTGCAACTACACGTATATGCATATACTCTATGTACATTGTATCTGCACACTAAGCTGTAGTACAGTGGCATAAAGTTTCGAGGCAAACGGCAAACATTCGGCAGGGATGTGGCAATAACAACTAAGATAAGCTGGAGGCATTTCAGGCGGCGTATGAAGAAAGTATTGAGACCGGCAGCAAATCGGCACCCCAAAGGCCAAGCATATCCTCTGCCATAAGGCGCCTCACAAAATGGCGACGCCAAATGCAAAAGTAAAATACAGATGCAAACAATATCCCAAGGCTACGGCAAAGTAGAATTGCCAGGATTTCTGTAAGTTCCCTAAATGTATTCCAGTCATGCTTCTATATTTTTGCTCGTACTTATCACTTATATTGCCAACACGTTGTAGCCTACATTTGTGGTGCAATATTTTTGCTTAGCACTTTCAGGAGGAACACTGCGAATAGCCTACGGTCACAACGAGAACAGTGCCGCTCCTGCAAGGAGGCTACAACACTATCGCAAATAGTGCATTGGTAATGTCGCATTGTACCCGCCTCCTGTCGCTCTCTTTTGCATAGAAGATAGCCGCAGGTGTCAGTATAAAGCAGCAGAGGAAGACAGCAATGCCCAGACCAAGGTACAACTGCTGCAACACATCAGGGGTGAGCGGTAAGGAGGCCCTTTTAAGTGCCGCCCAGCCAGCAGCAGCAGCAGCGGCGGCGGCGGCTCCCGCAGGGGTAAAGGCGGCTGCCGCGGTGTTGGACGCGTGAGCTGCAGCAGCTGCCTCAGCAACAGATGGAGGCTGCTGCAACTCTTGAGGGATATCAGCATTCTGTAGGGTAGCAAAGTTGACTGTGGAAGCCTGCATGATGTCTATAGGCACGAGAAGGGCCAGAAGGAGAGCAAATGTGAGGGTACTGCAGAAGGAGAGAGCCGCAATTGGAGTGTCCTTCTTCCTGTCGACGAAGTGGTAGTAGAGCAGCAGCGGCAACATGCATGCGGCACTTGCCGCTGCAGCAGCCCCAAGGCCCACGAGTAACATCTTCAGCCTGCCGCCCAGACCTCATCTCCAACCAAAAGCGACAACAGCTGCGGTGGTAGCAGCAGCAGTAGCACAGCCGCACCCCTTCTGCGAGAAGGAATAACTCCCCGAAGAGACACGAGATTAAATGCCACTAGGGTTCTCAGGATAATCCCCTCAGGCTGTAGCCATCGGCTCCATTCGAATGAGTCTGTTGCAACTGCAGCTTGGATGCATGCTTGAGCCGAGGGAAGGGGATCCAATGAGGGGTAATGCGTCGGTTTGGGGCATGTATGGAATGTCAGTGAAACGAAAGAAGAAATTTTGCTAGTTTTTCCGGATTATACTCGATGAGAAGAGTAAGGGGATTGTTTGATCTTCTGGCTGTGAGGAACCGCTGGCCTTGAACGGTACGTTGACAGGCCAGTCCTACTGCTCATCGAACTTGCCCTTCTCTCTCCCCCTTTGTTTCCGCCTTATTCAAAGCCCAAGCCAATTCAGTTACAAAATCAGAAAGTTCCTTTTGGAGGCTCGTTTGTCTCTCATCGCTCGTGTCGGCGGGCCTGCATGCGACTGTAGCTCTGCCGACTCTCCTCGATCTGGTGCGGCGACAAAAAGGTCTTAGTTTTGGATGGAGTAAGCTGGAAAATGTCTATATGTCAAAATAAGTTTGCGTCTTCTTAGGATTATCTGGTATTTGCATAATGGGAGAGGTGACGCTAAAGTGCCGCCGACGGTCGACCCACCATCTGGGCCAGCTGTTTCAGTTCCCACTCACGCACCTGCAGCTTGCCTTCTGAGCTGAATTATAGATTTGAATGTGATCGAGCTTTAAGTAATATTATTTGTTAACGAAGCAAACAGAAAATTGAGTCGATGGACCTTCTTTACAACTCAAATGCAGACGGCAGCCATTCTCTTCAGCTGCATGTCAATGAGCTGCTATTGAGTAAGCCGACAATCTCACCCTTTCCGAAAGCTTTAATCCATTGGTCTCTAGCTGAAGGAAGTAAATTAGTCCCAGACTCAAGTAGTTAAGAGCGCAACACTCTTTTTGCACACTACCTTTTAAGTGGTACCCAAGCCTTCATGAGCAGGCTGCTAGCACCTATTTCGTTGGCTGCAAGAAAAGATGCCTTTATCTCCGTATGACGGGAAGAGAACCGTTGCAAGATATATGACTGTCTCTCTGTTGACCTACCGCACCTGCATCCAGCCCACTTCCCCCTTGTTGCCTTCAGGCTGTCAGACACTTGATACAGAGGCCTCTGGCTTGATTCAGACTGTTGTTGCAAAGGCGAAAACGTTCCACCAGCAGCAGCTTGCCGTCCGTCATTGTTGCTGTGTAACTGCTGCTGAGACATCGCAGGCAACCTGCTCGTCCATTAGGCTCTGCAATTATTTCGGTCGTACCTCTTTAAGCTGGCACTAGGCATGTACAGAGGCACGCATATCAACACATGCCATCAGCATGTGTTGATATGCGTGCCTCTGTACATGGCTAGTGCCTTAGGAAACTGGGGTCCATTTCATATGCCATGCAAATACAGCGATGTGTTTATTTTACCACGACTCACAGGGACCAAACGACTCTATTGCAGCTAATTTGTTGTTCACCTGGCGTAACATATTGCTATCCATAGTGCACGTGCAGCAGTTGTAAAGACTAGCAGCGTGAGCTCTGCCTTTCATCGACTCTTTGCGCAGACAGGGACGTTTGTCGCAGGTAGTAGGGGTGAGGCTTGCAAGAGAACGGGAGAGGCGGCAAATCGAGCTGCGCTTTTCTACAGCGGCGTTGCGGTACAGGCAGCAGGAAGCAAAACTACACAGGCAAGCATATTCCGGCATGGTAGAGGCATTCGTCCATCACTTTTTCTCCTTCGACTTGAACCAAACAGGTTACCGAGAAGGCCGGGAGATGTTCCCATGTTTGTGTTTCCGCTCGTCCGCAGGTTGCAACAGGAGGTTTCCCGCCTGCAGCAGGTGCTCCAACAGCAGCAGCAACAAATGGCTTTTCTACGGGCGGAAGATCAGACCCTACCGAAAAGGAGCCGCGAGCCCGCTACTGCTAGCCTTGCTCTAAGTTCTTAGCCACTTGGCCTACTCTAGGCTCAGCAAAGCGCGCAATGTCTATAAGATTACAAGTAACCTAAATGTGGCAGCTGTGCTTTTTGGGCCTGGGGCCCCTTGTGGGGCTGCGTGGGAGAAACTGTTTCCGTTGGTGCTCCTGAGTACAACACAGACGAAGACTCGCTGCTGCGGTTGCTGCTGTTGCATGCAACGGCAGCCTTTTGGGAGACGTGTGATGCATGCAACTGCAGCCCTTTGGGAGACGTATGATTCGGTGTGAGCCACTGCTTCGCCTTACCAACTATTTTGGGGGCTTTTTCCTGGCAGTTTGGACTCTTATTGTTGGTGAAACACATCAGCGCTCATCGCGTGTACTCGCGAGTAGAGCATGACTTACGCTAGAAGTGTAAACAGCCACCATGAGCGTGTGCCCTCTTGCAGAAGATAGTCGTGCCACGGATGCACCGAGACCATGGGGACTCAGGAGCAGCTACTACAAGCATTCGTATATGCTGTCCTTCGTACACTCGGTTCGGGCAATTTATTCGCTAGTTAGTAGTTCGTTCGTAGCTACCTGAGAAGATGGGCAAAGGCTAAGTTTTTCAGAGTCGTCAGTGGCAGCAGAGTCCAATGCAACAGGTTCAGGCAGGCAGTGGCCCCCACTCTGCAGAAGAGTGAGGTAAGAGTCCTTTCTGTGCGAACATATAATTCAGCCTCTTGAACACGGCTCGGTCGGATACCCAGATGCTGACCGCCACACTACTGCTGAGCTCCGCTCTCGAGGCTCTACAGCATATGCTTTAAAGAGCTCGGCACTACGATCGCGTATCCAACATCTATACGGGCACGCAATTTCTGGCTTTGGATCTGAATGCATGCACTTATCTGCTGAACGACAGAGTGAGCGGACATTGGAGGGACCCTTCTGTGCACCGCGGAAAAGCAAACACTGCCTGCATTTGAAACGACCACATTTCATAGTGACGCTGTAGCGGACGCATACAAATGTACTAAATCCACGGCAGCGTGAGCATTGCCGCGGTTATCCATGGTGAAGAATGCGATAAACCTTCAGAAACAATGAATGTTTCGCTTGCAGAGAAAACTTAGCTCTACGCGCATTCACCATTAAGCGTTTCGATGAGTAAGTTTTCTCTGCAAACGAAACGTTCATTGTTTCTGAAGGCTCATCGCTACAACATGCTGGTTGCTGATGGTGTATTGTTAAGTTCCCCTTTGAGATTCAGACGCAATGGCTGCATAATAAGGCTGACACAGAAGAAATGCGATCAGGAGCCGACGGCACAGTAGGCGCGGGCCACTGCCCAGCGCTGGCCTCTCTCGCTCGACATTTGGCAGTGTATGAGTCCCTTTGTGCAACGGCAGTCCTCTGCCTCCGTCTACGAGTATCGTGAACTACACCAGAGAGAAAGGCCACCTCAGCCCCACAAGAGCAGGTACTTCCCTCCGAACCCCAGGCATGGAAAGCAAAACAACTCGGGTCACGACAGATAGACGGAAAATGACAGCTTCCAAGAGGTCTCTTGCAGTGCAGCTTGATTGCCACTTTGCATAAAGCTCCCTCTTCTTGTGGCATCTCTGCGTTATTCCGCTTGTGCCCAGGGTGCCTATCTCCTCCATTTCATTCGTTTCTCATTCAAGCTGCTGCCTTCTCGCGTCAGCCTTAACGCAGCTTAGGCGAGCCCGTCAGCCGTCCTACGAAAACAATTTGTGGTTTGGCCCCAGCTCCGACGGCACATTATAATCTTCGCCAGCGCGTCTGCAAGTGACCGACCAACGTCCGACCCTACTCATCTCCCGACTGCATCCGCTGCTTGAAACAAGCAATTTTACTATTGGTCCTTTCCCTGGGAGGAGTACTCGAGTCCCTGTCTCCTCGAACGCCTCTTCGCAGGAACGCCAAACGACCCACTACTTTTCAGGCAGGACAGGAAAAAGAGTAACAATGTATTCCACTATTCCACCCTGCAACCGCCTGAAGTTGCACTTCTCAAGCACCCTACATCACCACCAAACTGAATAGCTCACGTGATAGACACGTCGTCTTCCCTACGCTCCCTCGTTCTGTGTAATGGCGTGCTGGATGCAGACAAGCTCTGTTAATCCACTACCAAGAGCAAAACGCCGTTTGGAGATGAAGAAGCTATTCGCTATTAGTGCCTAGTAAATCAGCCCTCCTATTTCATGGTTTGTTCCTCAAAACTGTTAGATACCGTTTCGACATTCCCCTCTAGAGTAACCCTTGGAACGACCGCATCACAGTCCATAATAGACTTCTATGCAGAGTGGCCTGTACTCTAAACATTGTGATTCGCTGTAAAAGCACCTATTCAGCAACAAATTGTTCACCTGCTAAAGCGAACGAGCGCTCAACAATGTCTTCATGTTTTCTTTCGCCCTTCCGCTCGCAGATATTTGCATACACAAGGTATTTAGCTGGTGCACGGGCAGCGCGACGCGTATCACCAACTCCCATCTATTGTTGTGCATAAATTTCCCCTTCAATTTTTTGTATACTACGACGATAAAAAGCAAATCCAACACAAACTACAGCGGGGGAAACTAAACTCCTCACGGCAGCAACCGCCTGCTGTCGAAAATCTTGCGAGACACAAACGTGGGTACAAATACACTTGAGATGGAGTTTTGTCATCCCCCGTCAAATGCATTTATACTCCACTACGAGCCAACACTGCTAACCCAGCACGAAGGCGATACGCTTATGCACCCTCCCAGCTGCTGTAAAGGCAACCACATATTTCCTTCACATGGCTTAAGAGGTCCGACCGCCAGCGGCTACTACTAAAAATGAGGACCCAAAATCCTGACCCAATATCTATACATCGCACAGGACCGTTGCTGTTCGAAAAGGCACTAACTTTCTCTAAAATACGTGCCTGAATCCCTGCAAACGTCTTGCTTCGTGCACTGCAGTCCGTATCTAACCTGTGGGATGCCCACGATTCACGCGTTTCACAACTCCACAAACTCACTGGTAATGGCTGATCCAATGATTAAGAATCCGCAGATCTTTTCCTGCATGCTACTGCTAACGTACAGCAACAGGCAGCCTGTTCCTGTCGCCTCAATAACTCCCGCTGGGCAGAAGCTGTCCTCGGGTGCCAATCCCTGCCGCTTCGAGTGCTTCTTCTATCTCATCTGGGAGAGCTGTTTCGGAGTGCTTCTCTCTACCTCTTGTCGACGGATGAACGATGCCTTGTTTCAACTGAATGCCCCTTCTCCCGTGTGGCTGCGCATCGACGTGCAACATGTCTGTAGTCGTTCCCTCTGCCTGCATGTCTGTCTTCGTATGACTGTTGGCCTTCTGCGCTGAAACCCCTCTTTGGTCTCCCTTGGGTAGCTCAGCTGGATAGACATTGCCGGCAACTTCCGTGTCATGAGTTGTACTGCGCGTCGATGGGGTGGAAGTCGCTGCAAGGACCGCGGCAGCCGAAGTCGCAAGCAACTCAGAAACGGCCGGAGGTGTCACAGATACAAACGACTTGGCAGGGGAACTTAACTCCTGAATGGCTGTCGTCTTCAGGGGTTCGTCAGACGCTTTAGTACCCACGAACCAACTCTCCCACACCCAAACCAAAACCAACACAGCCCGATCCGCTGTCGCGAGAGCCAATGATATCGAATGTCGCAGCGAGAAAGTGGTCACCTAAGACAAAGTCAAGGAGCAACCTCGCAGTAGGCACCGGTGCACATAAACTATTGGCCAGAAAAACCACAAAGCAATGGACTGATTGGACGCCTTCGGGAACTCGCTAAACGCTATCAAAAAGAGCCAGGAACGTCTCATGACAAGGAATTATGGCTTCTGTATGTTTAAGGACTTGCGAGTTAAGGGACAAGAACAGGCGTACACCTATGACAAGCTTCAATAGCCCCAGGCGCCTCAGCAAGACGAATGCGCAGCACCCCAAGAAGAAGAGGAACGCGAGCCAAATAAGCTCTGAATCAGACGCAGACCTGTAGAACACACAGAAAGGGAAAAGGGGGACAAACAATGGTGGCTCCACCCTTACTTAAACAAGCCTACTCAGTGCCCTCCAGTCTACCCCTGAAGCTTTCCATTTGATTTATCCTAGTCACAGCAAACGAAAAGGCAAATAGCAGTCAGCGGCTGTAAAGGCACAGAATGTTTTGCACATCCCATGAAATGAGAAGACACAAACAACCACAGGTGCCAAAGCAGCAGCAAATGAAATACAAAGCCTTGTGTTGCGATGAATGGGCCATCTGAATATTTCCGTCCCGTCTCCTGTGCAGTAAATCAGAAGCCAGGCAGAGAATGTCCCCCACAGTCAACGCGTATATTCACACTCTCAAAAGCATATTAACTGGCTCCGTAGGCCTGCGCTGTGGCAACGGAAAATGCCATGCGTCCGAATTCGCCGTAAGCCTCTGACATATGTGCAAGACTAGCTAACAAAGTTTATCCAAACATGATAAGTTGCCAGTACACCTGAGAGGCCGCAGCGTGTTCTAGGAGACGCACAGGCACGCAGGCGCAAACAAGGCACTAGCAACGCAAGCAACATCGAGAAACACGAATAAGGATATGTCCCACAAGCAGACGGTCATTTCGATAATGCACCGACTCAGCCTCTCAATGCAGCATCTGCTGCATATCCTTGGGATTGTGGGGTGAAATACTTTACATGTAAGTCAACGCATGCACACTGTGCATATATTTGAACCCGCTGGGAAAGATAATTTGGTGTCTTCCCGGCGCTTTTCAAGCACGGGCGTTCTGCGGTGCTGCTGCAAGCAGCCCTAGGCCCCAAGCTTTATAATAGATGCAGAAGAGCAGGCGAGTATGTGCTCCTAACTCTTCACCGTCTTGGCCTCTGTCACCCTTTCTGTAATTACACTCAATATGCTGCCTTCTGCTGTTTCCCCCTAGGGCCCCGCGGGAAGCTGCGCCGCGAGGCGCTGTGCATCCGAGGGCAGTGTACCTCTTTTTCAAAGCCTGCAGCATTCCTGTTGCGCTGGAGAGTCGCGAGCCAAAGACTGCAACACCAGTAGAAGCAGTAACAACGACAGGCAGCACTCTGCCCTGCCCCCTTGGCCCTCCTATTTCTGCGATACCAACTATCCAACCCACCAGCCCCTACTCCACCCCTTAGCGCCAAACACACAATGGCCCCTCTGTCCCGTTCCGAGCCTGCAGCCGTAGATAAGCCCCTCCGGCTGGGTCCCTAAAAGTATGGTTTGCATACGGCAGGCTCATCTCGAGATATCCAATAGGAGCATGGGGTCAACGGCACTCACGGAAGAGACGGTACCGTCTTGTAAGGATGTTGTAAGGATGTTAACCACAGCTAAGTACTTAGGACTCGAGCACAGATCAAACGTGTAAGTCCCCCGCGTCCACCGCGATGCTCCCAAGGCCCAACCCGCAATTACGCCCCCAAAGCACCCGTGCATCTCCACGCATTAGCTGGGAAGACCCGAAGATTACAACAACCCTCACTATTTTGTCTGTGCAGCAACGGTGAATAGTTAACAAGCCAGCCCAGAAGTGCATCAATTCTATTTTGGATTGTGGTTTTGGCACGTGTCTGACCGTTGTAGGATGCTTCTGTCTGTTCGAGAGCAGTCGACGACTGTTGAAGCTGCTCCTGTGTGGCGCGCATGCGTTGCACTTCCTTGGCCATTGCTTGTCCCGTCTCCTGTAGCAGGTGCTGGCTGTGGGCCTGAAGCTGCGCGGGCCTCTGCAAAGTAGCTGGGTTGAGAGCACCCTCCTGCGGCTTCTGTGATCCCCGAGCAGTGGCCAACTGCTCTCCAGTTGTTGCCTTCGCTCGAACTGGTTCTAAGCGGGGACCCCCGCTGCGAGTAGGAGCCCCGGGCGGTCCATCTCTAGTGGACAAACCCGATGAAGTCTGTGCCCTGGGAAGAAAAGCAGCACTGCACACTAAATGAAGCAAATTGCGACATCGAAATAAGTAAAATATAGATAAACCCCTGTAGTTCCACTACACGGAATTAACTGTACATGGGCCTACCTTTCCTGGATGGAGCATACAAAATTGGCCATTCGCATTGTGTGAAAGTGCCGCTCAGTATTTTGCCACCAGGCAGCGAACTGCGACTTGTACCTGCAGTAAAAACAAACTGGTTGCAGCCAGGCACGGTCAAGCAAGTGCAACGGCAGAAGCAGAAAGTAGCCAGCCAGACAGACAAGCCGGCCCGCAAATGCACGCAAGCCAAACATACGCAGAAACACGCACCTACACATAGATATACAAAAGCGGATTTCATGTATGCCCTCCTGCATGTAAAAAGGCAACGGAAGTTATGAAAACATATATGCGCACAAATATATGTACTGTGCTTCTCGTCTTTGTAGCATGCAGAGATCGGCGTCCAGCGGCGTACAACTGGGTGAAAGACGCACCATAGGTAGTACCACCGTACCATTCAAATAAGGGAGCCTTTGTTCAAAGAGGGCGAGAAATGAGCAACGTCCTTTGTTGGAACTAAGTAGGTGCGAGGAAGCGAAGAACAGTGCTTTCTTACTTTTGCAGGCGTTGCTGATGCTGCTTTAGTAGGGCGTCAAGTTCGTGCAGCTGCCTGGGGTGAAAGGATTCTCGTTGACGGAGATCATCGGGGAACTGGGAGGAACTGTAGGAAATTATCTTTTCAACAATTTGAGCCAAGTTCTTCGCAAGCTGCCCGTAGCGAGTTATGCGTCGAGCAACGCGGCTCCGAAACTGAAGCCATACATTTCACATTGCCCCGTTGTGCAAAAGTACCCTTCACTCATTTAGGCGCGCCAGTCGGGGATATCCTACAAGCCGAAGAAGGATAGCTGATCGATGATACAGTGGAGCACGAACCATACCTGTACGAGCTGCTGGTGCTCCGTCACATCCGTGTTCGGTGCAGTTTCAAAGAGAGATGTAAGGGAGCCGTCCAATGTAGCGAGATCCTCCACGACGACATGCAACTGCTGCAACAGGTCTTTCAGCGCCATCTGCTCCTCCTGTTGAAGCACGAAAAGAAGTCACACCCCTTCGCACAAATCCTCAGTGTGTTGTGTCCATCCCACACAAGTAAAACCGTGGTTCTTGGGTATGAAGTCTAAATACGTAAACAGATACGTATGTGCCAAAAATGGGCGTCGAAGTGCGCCTGACACGATCGTGCCTTCGCACACGGGAACAACGAATCCGTGCATTAAGGGATGTCGCCGGCATACCTCCACGACATACTGCTGATTTACACTTTGGTGGTAGTTTGACTGCACTGGCTTGCGATGTTGCTTGCCCGCGGCCGCCATGCTAGCGTCAACTGGAGTGGGGTATGCCGGGGGCACCATGGAAGATTGAGAAGAAAGCGAACGAGGCTCCGATTTCAAGTTAATGACGTAAAGAGGGTCATCCCTCTCTAGGACTAATCGTGTCGATCGCGCTGAAAGGGCTGAAATGGCTGGCTATCGGCTTCCTATTACAGGATACTCTTTAGGTGTTTGTCCGTCGGTGACGGTGAAGTCGGTTGTGTTTCTACAGGAGCGGGTTCGTCTGATAAGGAAACAGACAAGAAAAAACGCAGCTACGCCCTAAGTTGTAGTTGATGTTGGGAAGAAGTCGATGAAACTGGTCGCTTGCTTGCATTCCGCATCAGAAGGATGTGGGAGATGCCAGGGGCTGTCAGTTGCAGAAACGCACGATATGTAGAGCATATTCATGAGCACAACCTTCATACAAAAAGTTTGTGCGGCATTTTATCTACTTACAATAGTTGCTAAGCACCAAGAGTACCAGCTTGGGCAAAGAACAATATTCCACTCAACGTGCGCCACTGTCATTGTGTAGTGCACAGGCACTACAATGGGGCTTTGGAGTGATCTCTAGTAGCTCACTAACCGTAAAGAGAATGGTTAGGACATTAGGAATTCAGAAATGGCATTAGTGCTGCAATTTCTTCTAAGAATCGAGTGCCGTAGATGGAGCCTTAGGGTAGTAGGAATACCCCGGCAGCTACCACTATGGCAGTGTAGCGCAATACCTAGTCATTACTTGGTTACCCGGTAGGCCTCTTTAGAGATCTAAGCGAAATAGAATTAGTATTATATCTATAAATACGACTTTGATGGGTATCAGTTCTAGGTCAGGCACCTGACCGTCTCGTCCCCGTTGATATCTCCCCCCATCATCCGATTGGTTGGGCGCTGGCACCCAGCCATGACCAGCGTTAATTCAGAACAGTTCTACTATTATTTGGAAGTTCCATTTTTCATAATAGAGACTCAAATATGTTTTGGAACGTTAAGTGTTGACTTCGGGGAAATCGGGTAGTTACAGGACGCAGCTAGGCAGCCATACTCTAGGAGACGATATGTAGGCACAGCTTAGGACCGCTGCGCACTACATTTGGGGGCTGTTCCGTTCCAACCCAGTGGCCTCCTCGCTATAGTGGAATGTATAATAAGCAGCAGCAGCAGCACAATTAAAGGACCAGGCAACGGAAGACAGATCGTGGTTGTGCCAATATACGCGGGCACACCGTGTGGATAGGAGAATGGGGCTCAACGCCTGCGCGAAAAGCCCAATGGGGACTTCATTAGATGATCACCTGGAGGTGTCACACACACGGTGGGATTACCCCCGGACCAGTAGCGCCAATATTCCACCTGAGGATGGGAGGAATATGTTGAACTTCCTTCGTCATATAGAGCTGGCGTTTATTGACACTGGAATACCAGCGGAACACTGAGGACACGAACTGCGCGCATACTTGACCGTAGAAGCCCTAAATTGGTTCTACCTATTTGATTCCCGGGAACCTATAGGCAACTGGGAAACTCTCAAACACTGGGTCTCTAGCGACAAAATAGACTCGCGAATAGCTTAAATCAGATGTGCGAACAATGCAGCACAGTATATAGCTGAGTTTGGGTCTGTACTAACTAAGAGAGAACCTTTACCGCAGGACCTCCTAGTGACGATATTTTTAGCGAACCTGCCAGATGACATTGTGATGAGGGTGCCAAATGCGGGACATGCCAATTTCACAATCTGGGAGGCAGCCGCGGCAGAGTTGCGTAAGGCTGTAGGATCTGGGATGAGGCATTGAGCCGGCAGAAACACGCTAGGCACTGCTTGCAGCAAACCCTTCGGCAGAGTCGGGGTGGGTTCCGGAGAGTTGCGTAGCAAGTTCCCTTTCGCCAGGAGGCTTTCCGTCGTACACGGGACGATGTATTCTCGGAAGCCACTCAAGAAGCGAAGGTCGTCCACAGGATCGGTCAGGGACATGGGAACACGCCTGCCCCATTGTAGTGCCTGTGCACTACATATTGTATTACCGACACCCGAGCGGTTGAAGCAGCCCCCCCTCTCTAGCCATGCTTCGCGCGAGTGCCAATCTCCCACCAACGCCTATGAAGAGGGAGATAACGATTGAATAGGCATGTCTTTGTTTGTTATAGGCAGGCAGCTTTGTATTTCCAGCATACTTGCACGGCGTCTTCCATTGTTTGTGCCTTCATTTGGGGGCTGGGGTCGCTTGTGTGCGAAATATGTTTTCCGCCGTAGAAGCCGTGTTCGCAGCAAGGTAACTCTTCTCTTTCCCTAATTTTACTGCTGTTTTGGTGGTCATGGAGGCTCCGGCCAATATTCGTCCCGCGACCTTGTGCAGCTGTTGGGATCAGTGGTTTTGTGGCATGCTCTTTGCAGCACAGAGCCATAGAAAGTGGAACATAACTTTCTACTGGAACGCAAGATGGTTACTGGGGGTCAATTTTGCATCAACCCATTGCCAAGAGTACTGTGAAGTGCAACTACAGGCACTTCAGAGGTAGGGTTCAACCGCCAGCATCTGGTAGATTTGACGTTGTAGGGTAGGTTGGGCTGCACGGCTCCCCATTCCACAAGCTGCACACGCCCATATGTGCCAATCATGTGGGTGAGTACTACTTGTCGCTGCTCTGCGATTTCCTGCTTCTGCTGCACGATTGTTGCTTCTTTGAGTTGGTCCAGGAATTCGTCTCAATATCCCCGAACTTTATCGGCAAGCCGTTGACAACGTCGCGGTGACAAGCCCCTGCAGGAAATTAAAACATTAAACACTGGTGTAACAATTCCTGGATGCCAACAGAAGCAATATTATTGCGTTGAATGGCAAGGAGAAGAGCAGTGGATTTCGGAGAGCCTTTTGTGTGTAGCTAGTCCTCGTGAACTGGGACAGGTTATCCTTGCTTCCCCCATAACTATTACACGGAGCGAACGGCGCAGCCTAAAATTAAAAGTCGTCCAGCTATCCGTTAATTGTTGCTGTTTCGCAGCTCAAGAGACTACGAAATCTTGGCTTTGCCTGTACTCTGCTATTTACTATTCTTTTTGTTGTAGTCAAGCTTCCGTACTAGCTTTGACGAGATCTTGTCAAACCAGAATTCATCAACTGCCCGTTTCTGGACACGCAGGGAGGTCCGCCAGTTCCAACAAGGCTCATGGTTATATCAAGCAAGCTAGCATCATGTGTGTTCAAAATGCACACAAAAAGAACCAGGAAGTACTAATCTAGCAGCCCAAGCCAACAGCGTCCAAGAACAGATGGAGGCCGATTTTGACGACTTTTGCACACCTTGTGGAGGTTGTCTATTCAGCTTCCACAACAGCAGCTCTTCACAAACATCGGCGAGCAACCTACTTGCTAGGCGCTTCTGGCGGTGCTGCACAGACACGAAGTGAGCACACAGGGAGAAGCATCCGAAGGCCAAATAGGATGCGCGGCAACTGGAACGAAATACAAGTCAATACAGGCATTCTCAGGGGCGAGACAGCCACATGAGGAAGTCTGCTACTTCTGCGAAGTTTGGATGGCAGAAGTAGCATAGTCTGTGCGATGCTCACACATCTGTCGGCCGTGGGGGTGCCCTTACACTACCCTAGCAGCCAGTTGCTGTTAGCTATCCTATTGAGTATTTTGGATCTACGAAAGGTCACAACAGACCTCGAATAAGGCTCAGGACCCGCGCTGCATTGCTGCAACGCCTTCACGGCACTACTGCATTTAAGCTTCGACAAGATGCCTTTTCTGTATGCACCAACACTGCTGACAGAATGTAAATACCTTCTTTGGCCTTAGTAGCCAAGCTGCTGGCGAGTAGTACAACGCAAGTACAACGGATTGCTCGGGAAGTAGCTACTAACATAGCAGGGTCACTAAAGCTTGCCGTATGAGAGGCTTCTAGCGGTTAGTAACAGAGGCATTCGAAAACGATCGATGTCTTAGTCTCTATTCAATTATGTAGGCTGCCTTATTGACCTTCGCACAGAAAATTTCCTCCGCCCACAAAGACATTCGTGGGCCCCGCATGCAGCACGAGGCATGGAAAGGTGAACCCACAAATGTCTGCAGGAATAAGCACCAAAATTGTTGCATATATGGCTCACAATTTGCATTTAGCTGCAAATACCTGCAGTTTGAAGGTTTCCGTCGAATACGTTCGTCGCACCGTCGTTCGTTGTGGCCCACCAGCTGTCCTGAGAAATCAGGGCAGTGCATGGAGTTGGACGAGCTCCACTATTCCTTGAGCTGCGTGAATGCGCAGTTATCAATTCTCAAACTGTTTTGATGGCTCATTCCATCCAGCTTGTTCGGTGGTCTCCTCCACACTATTCTCTGTCGACCGGGGTGTGGCAAAGGCCATGGATAACTCCTCTGACATGATGCACACCTGAGCTGACTATTATAATCATCTGTGCCTGTCATACATCAATGATACTTGGAGAGGTGATTTCAATATGGCGTCTTCAACACCCTTAAAAATTCTCAAGGCTCCTCCCATTCCGGCTCCAACGGGTCGACGGCCGATCGGTTTCCGCGGTATGCATTTGCTGCAGACCGTAGAATCTGGTTCTTGCGCATGCATTATTAATTTGTTTTCCTGTTTGCTACTCTGTCTCTGCACGGGCAATGTGCAGCCGAAAGCCACACACTTTGAACTTCCTGCAGCCACACACTTTGAACTTCCTTCTGTTTCGATGCATATTGTTTCAGGCAACCACCAACATAAGAAGGCCTTATATGACCCTGTATTCAGAACTACAACTGTGAGGCTGTTACCAGAGTGCTTCTGCTGAATTCACGCCATGCGAAGCTTCCATCACGCTCTGTAGTGCAGGCCTGGCAGTATTTCGTGCGTGTGTGTACAATTAACGTGTTGACGCTTGTGGCCGTTTTGGTTGCTGCGGCTTGCTCACCTTTAGAGATGCTTGCATCAAGACCCTATTGGGTTTTACATACAGGGTATCAAATTGTATGCAGGTGCCGTCGAATTTGGTGCCGCGTTACCCCATCGATTGGCGGAACGGGGGCCGAGCGCTATTAGTGGCTGCGATGCACAAGTTAGAGGGGAATTTCCCACTACTGCCGCGCCAACAGCCTCCACTGCAGTGCCAAGCCCCTCTTGACCCAGGATCGCTAGCGGTCTTAGCGGACAGTTGTGCAAGCGGGTGCTCTGTTGAGTCGCTGGTCTCATTGGGGCGCAGAAGGAGTGGCAGAGCCGGATTCGCTGCTGGGAAGGCTGCGAAGCGGCTAGTGCTGAGGCATAAAAGAGCGTTACAATGGCAGGAAGGGGGCTTTTGCAGCAGCAAATGCGGCACGACGTGCAGCAAAAGCCCCTGGAGGTGCTTGTGCGCTTGGAGATGCAGAGGCTTCCATCAACATGCAAACCGAATGGATGCTATTCTTATGAGCCACAAGGGACCAGTGGAGTGTAATAAACCCCTTTTTAGTGTGAAACGAGCAGAAGTCGCTCCATCCAGGTCAGGCGAGGGGGAATATTTCTGCGAGATGTACCCACATTAGGGGTAACTGTGTCTGGTGGGAGGAAAACACTATGAGGACCGCTATGACTGCAAAGCATGCTGAATGGTGGTCGTCCTTGTGCATTTCCATTTCGTTCTCATTCACCGTAAGTTGAGTATGTCGTTTCTATGCAGACTGGCAAGTGAGGGAATGATCTTCTGTACCCGCAGAGGTAGCTTCGTTTCCACTGCTGAAAAGCTGCACCCGGCATTTGCTGCCTACGATGCAAGGGAGAAATGGGAGGTAACCTCAGTTCAGCGATCGCAGGCGGTTTGTTGGGGGCTAGAAGAAGACTCAGAAACTGACAGTGACGGTGAGGAAAATTTGGACGAGGAGGCAGAGGACCTTTTGAAGTGTCTGTCGGAGTCCCAGCAAATTGGCGCTTTTGAGCGGGCCTAGTCTAGAAAAGCGTTCCTGCAACACAGGACGGTCTCCTACGGCCGTACAGCAGAGACTGGCATGACCCATACCATTTGTGCCATAAAGCCCCGGCCGAACAGTACTTGAAAGGCAGTTCACTCTAGGGGCAATTCATTTTTTTTTGTCTGCCAGGAAGGAGGGGGTCCCTTCATGGCACCGGCACACTTTCCTCCTGTTCAAACGCGTGCATGAGCATGGCGCGTTTGCCACTATGCCAACTAGATTCTTTTTACATGCGGCAGCTTTTCTACTCGGAATATGCATGTGCACCTGTTAACTGACTAAGGAAGGCGCTGCTTCATGAGACTTGTCACATTTTACGTAAATCTGGAAAGGTCAACGAGAACTGAGCTCGGGTCGGTGATTGTCAGGCTCGCAGCGGATCTTTGACAAATCTCCCAACTGCCTACTGGGCCGCCCTGGGCGAAACGCATGTGCATTCTGGCGGCTGGTAGTCTTCTGTCCACATGACGGAGCACCTCCTAATTTGCGTGCGATAACGCAAACCACGAGGCTTTTCTTTTAATAAAACGAGATGATTGAACGCCTATAGTGTTGCAATCTTTACTTGCGGCGGTTGATTTGGAGGAGAATGCCGAGACCAATCAACCGGTACCTGCACAAGTCAAAAGTGCACACACGGCAATCGGCAGGAAACACCGCCAACCCACATTTTTCACATTTCCAGATGGAGATCGAAATTCCCCGACTACCCTGCTTCACACAGGCGGATTCAAAAATCGGGGCTGCTCACACTACGATCTGTATTAGAAGAATCAAGGCACTAAACCAGTATGAGTCTCGATCTATTGCGTAGTACTGCAAAACCTGCACATAAACGTGTATGGTATCAACGCACACGCCCAAGATAGACCCACGCAGAAGAGACAATTGATGAGATACGGAAAAGTAGTGCAGCGACAACTCGTCTGGAATACCGGCATATCTGTAATCACTATCACAGATTCACGAAGTTGCATTCTACAGCACTTTGTGTCGGTGTGTTCACAACGGAACTTGCGTATCACCGTCCACACAAGCAACTTCATGTGTCCCGGTACTGCTAATGCAAGACTAAATCTCGGTCAAACCAGGTGCATTATTTTGGACCTGTTCTCCAGTCGAGTAGCACTGGGGTGGAAGAACTCCAGGTGGGCATGGCTTTAGCGAGACTCCCTCTGGAGACAAAACATACATCCCAGAAACTATTACGTAACAGGTTGTCTTTTGAGACAATATGGAATACCTATACAGCTACAAACGCGCTTAAGAGACGGCAGTGGCAGTTGCCGTCCCTATGTCTTAACAACCACCCTTGAAGGATATAAATTACCCCAAACAGCATGCATCACACCGGACCATCCCCATCGGAAGGGCGACATGTACTGCGCAACACACACCATCACATTCAAGCCCCCTACAACACGTTATAAGTTTTCATATCTCTGGTTCCCCTCTATCGTCGCCCAAGTCTTCAATTATCCCTCAACTAGTATTCAACCGTCTCTCTCCTGAGGCATTTGCTTCCCCGTCGCGCAGGTCGCGATCAACCGCTCCCTTGCGACTGCTAATACTTACTTGTAGCCAAATCCAAAAGCTCGGCATGCTTGACAAAATCACCATAAATCCAGACATGAGGACAAGGGGCATGAACAGTATCGGGATCATCGTTGAAGCGAACTGAAGCTGTGGTGGAATGCACAAACCGCAGAGAGCAAAACACCAGTGAAATAAGGCAACAGTCAGTGTCCACAAGACAGCAGTCGCGACGCTCCTCAAGGTATCCGTAGCAAGCCTTGGGCTGTCCTGGTTTCCTCGTCTAAAATGAGAAAACCGTTGTGAAGTATGCTCGGTATAAATGAGCAAAGATGATACTGAGTATTCTGCCTGCCCGCTCTATGCATATTGGATCTCTATACTTGACGCCTTGGAGATGACTGCAGTAAACACGTGTAGGTGACTGTATTGTCCGTTATACCGTAGGCGCGGCGCTAGATACAGCGTAACCAATTGAAATTGCGCTATTTGTTGTCAGCAAGATGAACAGCAGACCCAGCAGCCAGCGCACTGCCGCATCATTTAGACCGACCATGTACCAAGCAATGCTGAACAGCAGCGCACATCGCAGATTACAGGACTTTCTACAATCGGCAGCATCGGATGCGCTTGTGAGTCACCTAGCTATCAGTATAACTTCCAAATGTCTCACGTTGCGAAAACAACGGGGAAGATCATTTGCAAGGAAAAATCAGCGATCATTTTGCCACAGTAATACGAAGTGAGGCGGTAAAGGCCTGACTGGTACTCTCTAATCGCCAAAACTTTGTCGCTTGTAAACGTATGGAGTACTGAAACCATCCCGAGACTCCCCTACAATCACATAATTGAGAACCGAGTTCGGGGATAAAGGGAAACTGGCCTGTTAACGAGTACCAGAGTCGCATGAACCTCCCAGAAAAAAAAAAGACGCATTCTCCCTATCCCATTTTGCCATTACCTGCGTCTGTTCTCCTTCTCTGAAAGTTCCCTAAGCATTACACAGGCCCACTATCCTCTATCCTCACTCATTTTAGCTTACTTGATTCAGGATTATAAAGGTGCAGGCACCACTTCTTGACAGGTAGTTATCTGGAGAAACTCGTAGATATATAAGACCAGCAATAACAGCCAGCACTAGCGTCTGCACAACCCTCGCCTGAAACGCTCGCGGGTTTCGTTTGTTACTGATAAAGCTCCGGTGAACCAAAGTAAACAGCTCTTCAGACCTTCGAAAGCATAAACTTCACAGAAGGTGAAAGTTGCACGTGAAATATGACTTCACTGGGGCACCGCTGGTCGAAAATAAGCGAACACATGAATCGTCTGCTTGTGTATATTATGTTCACGCAGCTTGAGCGCAACGCTTTTGAAAGACCCAACGCGCATTGTCACCGTATTCTGTCCCACCAGGATGGCTTGTACTTGTCGTATGCTTCCCTCGTTGGCTCTGCCTCACTGTCAGCTGGCCCTCGCGTTCCTGTGGCAGCACTGGATAATACAAAATATGCAGTATTTTGCTCATGCACTTGGCCGTTGTGACTGAAAAAGGAAAGGGAGTTGGGAACCCGTGTGCCCGTTGTGGCCACTCTCAGCCGCTCTTTCAACTAGCCAACCCTCATCGGAGCAGCATTTGCGGAAGTAATTTGCTGTCGATATAACTGGAAAAGCAGCTGGAGCAGCATGCTCGGGGTGACAGGGAAACGAACGAGGAAGCCTACCCGTCTCGCTAGTCGCGGAATCCTGAGACAGAGACAGCAAAAACCGCGAATCTGAGCAGCTCCAGCAACAATACCGGCGCCTAGCCACAAATTATATATTGTAAACTTGCAAAGGCACAATATATAGCTTAGCGTCTACTTTTGCATGCTATGGACAGCGTAGCGAATCACTTCGTCAAAACCAAGAGCTCCAACTGGTTGCAAAGTTGATGCACCTTCCCCGCTGAAGAGGAAGCTGCTTTAGCATTGTACGGAGCTAAGATACGAGCACGGGATACACGCGAAGTTAAGTGCTGCGCGATGCAGAGTACGTACTACGCCACCAGGATTGCACACTCTGTGCTTGCACAAAAGCGTACATTAGGATCAATCACTACACGTTACACTGGAAAATGCGCGTAGGAATACTAGGAAGCAAAAACGACACAGATACCTAAGAAATGATGCTATCACGTGCACTGCGGGAATATTCAGATCCTCGCCACATCGTCGCCTCCTCCGCCTGAAGCCATGCTCTGCCAACGTAGGCGTTTTGCAGTAGCACATACTGCAAAAAGGCAAATTACCTGGCCTCCCTGGAAGGCTCCAGCATCTTGCATGGCTTGAATGTGCTCATCTCTGACATTCGCCTGAGGCCCAGTAACAAGGTGACGATGAACTTCAACGTTAGCACACGGGCGAATGATGGTTTCCTTTAGATTCTGCATTTCTGAAGGCTCAAAGGATTCCTATTGAGCCGTGCACTACTGTGAGTTTCTAACTGATGGTTTATGCACGCAAGCACGCCTACCCAGTCAGCAAGAAAGGCAGCGCCTGTCTTTTCCCAATTTTCTTGTAGCCTGTACAGATAGCAATCCCAATCCCACTTAAATGTACATGAAGTCCTGAACACGCCTAACTAGGTATTTTCCCATATTTTAATGTACCACCTAAAACCTCAATACTCCCACTAAACTACTGGAGGTTTTCAACCAGTACAGAGGCCTGCAAGAGTGCGCAACTCCACCAGGCCACTCGAACCGCAGAAATCGTATCAACAAACACCCCATCAATGCGCCATCTACTACTTGGATTCATTCGTACTTCTCAGGTGTTAAGTCGCTTAAATCTTCCGAAGGTTCACCCAGGTTTAGTTGCTGCTTTACAAGAAGTTCAAGGAGGAACTCCGGCACACTCGTGAACGGCGGGCAGGGTCGGCCTAGACGCGAGAAGTACAGCAGAGTTGCCTCGCGGTCCCCGTAGAAGACCAAACGGCCCCGGCTCAGCAAGAGCACTTTTGTAAACATGTTGAAAATGTTTGAACTCGGCTGATGAATTGTGCATATAATGGTTCTCCCTGTGCGCATAGCAAAATGTACCTGAAGGTGATGCCAAAAGGGCCGACAACCCTAAACCCAAGCCATGCGGCACACCAGCCGTAACAAAAAGCACAAAGAAAATCAAATGAAAGTGTTGGTTCCTCACCTCGATCAGCCAACAATCTGAAAATGTTCATAACGTTTTCAGCTATAAAGGAGTCCAGTCCGGTGGTTGGTTCGTCGGCAAATATAACTGATGGATTTGTCATCATTTCCGTAGCGATATTTAAGCGCTTCTTTTCCCCCCCACTAATGCCTCTGCGTTCACAGTAGGCACCCTCATGCAAGTGAAAGCCGAAAACTTTCTGCAAGATAGGGCCAAGTTAGGCAGCCAAGTGCACAACCTCAGATAATATTAACGACCCCAATGCAGTCAGCGAGGAGTGCAAGTAAGCGGAGAATTACATGCAAACATCTACCTCTTTGCTGCCATTTGGAGATTGCCTATTCTAGAGTCTTTGACTTTTGTCAACCCGTAGAGCTCCACCAGACGATCAACCAGCTTCGACCTTTGCTCTTTTTTCTGTCCAGTCCGTAGTCTCGCCTGTGCCAGTGAGAAGCGACATGAACAGCAGACAAGCGAAGCAGCGAAGCCAATGTGTCATGTGCCACAAAAAGCACTCCGGACAGCCAAGGCGCTACAAAAGACATACGCAGTACTCTCTCCCGTGTGATTATTGTGTAATTATTGGGTGAGATAGCATATTGTCAAAGCTGTAGGTCGCCTGCGCGCTCTTCTACACCTAGGTCGCGTGCAACTACACTGGAATGAACCGGCACATAACGCACCACGCAGTCCAGATGCTCCTGCACTGTTAGAAATCCATAGAAGCTGTCACTTTGTTGTATGAAACAGCATAATCGCTTCACCTCAGCCGACCCCAGCGGCTTGCCGTTGAACAATACAGAACCTCCATTGCTCACGATACGGCGGCTTAGAACTACAAGGATCACCAACAGCTCCACAAGCCCCTCCCTTCACTGGCACCTCCATAACTACTTGAGTGAGACGCCGTAATGTACCGAAGTTCTCTACATTGCCAAAAAAATGCCTCAATGGAGCTACATCTTCAGGCGCCTAGCATTCTTCATTCATCCACCGCTCGTTTCATGCTTGCTCTGGATTCTGTTTTACCTAGTCGAAACTCCCTCTGCAGTGTGCAAAGCCAAGAATATGCAGACATGATTACGGGCCTACCGTTGAGGAGAGTCGACTTCCCTGCACCGCTGGCGCCCATTAAAGCAACTGCAGCACGTGCCATAAAAAAAAGCAACCACAGGATACTCTTACAAAAACACTTGGACACTATTGTCAACAAACCATGGTGCTCTACTAGATCTCTGCCTTCCTTTTCGTGGGCATGCACAGCTCATCAATGGAGCTAACGCCAGCCACCCTTACCCATTTCGCCCGGTTTGACTGTCCCGCCAACTCCCTGAAGGAGAGTCTTCGTCTGAGGCGGTGTCACGGCGCTGGCTATCTGGTTTAAAACCGGCAAGGAAAGAGCTCCAGTGAACCTCTTGGGTACGTTTACCTTCACTGCAAACGCAGAACGTTAAACAACAACTCTATGGGGTGCGTTATTCGGTCCACCTCAAGTGCGGTGCTATAACAGCAGCGAACCAATCAACACCGAAACGTGCATTTTTCAGGATTTCCGGTGACGAACAGAATGCAAATCGTATGTGGCCAACTTCTGCAAAACTACCTGCAGGCACTATCTGCGTCCAGATAGAGTTATATCTGTGCAGAAAAGTTACACTGCACGCATTCCCTTCCCCAGAAAAGGGTGTAATGTCTACAGCACGTATTCACCCTTCCAGTGAAAGCCGTCCCTTCCGGCGAATACCATGCGTCAAACGACTTCTACTCGGCGCTGTTGCCTGCACACTTACATGACACATCTGTAAAAGTGATGGTGACAGGTGGGCAGAAAGGCAAGTCTTTGAGACGTTCATAGGTCGGGTTCTGCTCATCGGACTCTGGTGGAGTCATGCCTTCGCTCCGCGCAAGAGCTGCGTCTTCCATGCCGTCCATGCAACTAGCTGAGCGTTTGTCTACGGAGCTGCGTCGACTCCTGAGACTCTGGATACTAAAGCGGCGAAGTACAACATCTGAAGCCGCTGCATTTAATGCTTCGCAACAGTCCCCAGCTCCTGCAGGAGGGACTGCACTGGATAGCTGCCGCAGGAACTCTTCCTGAGTATCCGCCATCTCTGAAGGATGTAATCGGGCTCCACAGTGTCGTCGTACTCCTCTTCAAGAGCACGCGGCAGAAGCGCCGCAGTCGTAAAGACGCCGAGTGTCAACCGGCTTGCACGGAACCGCGGAACGGCCTCCACTGTGTCGTCGAAATTTCAGAGTTCAGCCACTGTCTTCCTATCCATGTAAGAATCACAAGAACCTAGAGTAATGAAGCCTCTCCCAAAGGCTGGATTAGTCAAGAAATACGACCCGCCACCGTCGACAGCAGCACTCAAGCCCTACCGCTACAGCCCAAGGGGGAGTAGTCCAGGCCGAGGAAAATCCACGTCGCAGTGTGCATACAAACATCAGGTATCCCAAACTTCTAGTTAGTTACAGGCCAAACCAAATTTGCAGCTCCAGCTAACAGTGAGGCCAGGAAGTGTGAAGCGTGCAAAGTCATGCAAGCCGCTCCAGAAGTCATGGCAGCTTCGTAATCTCAAACGCCATATAACGGTGCTAAAAGCACTACACGAAGTGTTATCCGCAAAAAGTAGTCGTTCCTTTCATGGGTTTTACATGGTAGCATGCAACTTTTCCAGTAATTTCTATTGTGTAGAAAGACTCCGCTTCATGCTTCTCACCGAGAGGGGCTCACACTGGTAGGTAAACGTACCATACTTTTGTGTATACACAATTCTTGTAGCCAACTATGTGTTTTACAATGGACAACAATGTTGGTGCATGCATCGAAAAGGGCCCTATGGGTACGTGCGTGTCTGATTGCTGGGGGGCTGAGATAGCAATGCAGCCACGCAGGATGGTTTGTGCGTACTGCTACTGTAGATGGTTACTTGTTCCATGTTAGTGGCTATAGTTCTACTTGGGTGTATATTGGTTACGGGGATCAATGTGTCCACTCAGTTACTGTCTACGGACTAAACGCATACAGCATACATTGATCTCCGTAACCAGTATACACCCCAGTAAAACTACACCCTATAACTTAGGGCAAGTTACCGTCTACAGCGGCAGAGCACCCATTAAAATGGAGCTAACCTAACTGGGCACAATGGGAAGTTGATAGGATGTTTTTCTACCTGCCTTATGGTAACGAAAACCCTCGATCTCTACAGAGGACCACTATCAGGAGTAGACTCGTGATAGCCAAAGACCGCATGATATCTCCACCCTACCCCCGTGAAGGTACAAACAACAGGCATGCAACAATATAAAATCGCGTTACAAACTCGTCCTCTAGACGTAGAGCCGACGGATATTAACAAATTTACTAGGGCGGCCACGGCACATCGGATCGCTTGTGCCGCTCATACACGATTCGGCCCACCTAAGGGCAAGCGGCTAGCAACCTGTGCGATGTTATAACAACATAGCGTCTACAGCACGCTCGGCAGAGCTAACGCGAACAGAAAGCAGCTGCGCTGCAAACAAACTGTTGTGAACTGTACTGGTATCAAGGCCTGCGTTGGTTTACAGCGACCTCAGCACGCGGCCTCCTGCACAAGCAAGAGAAGCACAAAAGCGAACAACATACAAAAACATGAAGGCCTGCCCCCATAGTCACAAGAAGCACACTCCGGCAGCCACCCTGTGCAGAATGAAGCTGCTGTCAACCACAAGATATGGAGCAGTTGTGTAACTGTCCACACGTAAGGAATGGCCATTTACTCATGGTCAATATAGGGATCCCTCACTAGGATACCACTCTGCATTAATATGGCATTCCACTGACTGCCTGTTTCACCTCTCCCGTGGTTAGACGTGTTCTCTAGGCACGTACTTTGCCCCTCCGTTCTCTCCTTAGTCGTCTGTACTCCCTCTGCGCAGTTTCGTATATTTCAGCCTTCTGGTTAAATCCGTTGGCCCGCAGTTTTTCCGCCGCCTTTGCTTCCGCCGACAACACGTTTCGCACTACTCGGGCTAGGCCTGCAGCCAGATGCACATGGGGATAAAACGGGTACTGCTTGATGCACTTACACATAATGCCAAGTGCCCTTACAGATGGTATAGTGCTTCACGATATCGTATGCCACATGCTACAAAGTCGGTTACTTGCATTACAAACCTGTAAATTACACACATAATGTGGAACAGAATAAACGGCAACGAACACATTTGCATTCGGTGCTTTCCGTGTATCGTGTACTCCCCAAGTCGCGGATTAGCAGACGCTTAGATATACTAGCTGCAGCTGGATAATATCCACGTGCAATACAAAAATAAAAGATATCTAGAAGACAGACCCAGGGGAGGAAGCGGCAGCTCTTCAAGGCGGCGGCCGATGTAAGACTCGACACGGTGTACTGCAGCAACATCCTCTGGATCCTAAACAACCAAAACACAGGTAGAGACACACGTTGCAAAGAAACCAGCAGAAACTTCTCCAGAATACGTGTATCACGCATGATGTACATCGACGGAAACAGCATCGTCTGAAGATGAAGCAACCAGACGCAGGACAACGTAGAGGACAGCCCACAGCCAGGAAAAAAAAAGGCATACAATGAACTAAAATGCAAATTTGTACGAGTGCACCAGAAGGGTTTTCCGTTGTATCCAGGAAGGGCTCTTGGTCGTCGCAGCTGCTGCAAGCGTATCCAGGAACTCACAACAAAAGTGATGGCCAAACCTTTTCTTCCCGCCCTGGCAGTCCTGCCAACTCGGTGCACATACACCTCCGGCTCCTTTGGAGGCTGGAGGTTTACTACAAAATCTAAATTGGGAAGGTCCAGTCCCCGAGCTGCCACATCGGTTGCTACCAAAACTCTTTTGTGTTGGCTTCGAAACGCTTTTAGAGCAGCAACTCGTTGGCGTTGCTGCAACAGCGAATGGATGCAAACGCAGTCCACCTCCAGTTGCTGAAGAGCAGTCGCCAGTTGCTGTGTCTTTCTCACGGAGCCGCTAAAGATTATGCCCCTTTGAGACGCAAATGGCTCTTGCTGTAGCAGATGTAACACATAAACTCCTCGCATGGCAGCGGGAACAAATATGTACCTATGCTGCAACAGAGGAGGGCATTTGGTTGACCTTTCTGGAAGCAGCAGGGGCATTCGGGAATCGCCAAACTGTTGTTGCAGTTGCAGCAACGCCGGGCTGCTGCTGGCAGACAGCAGCAGCGTCTGTCTCCCTGCTGAAGACGCCGGCAATGATGACAGCAACAAACGCAAATCGGGACCGAATTCTTCACTCAAAAGCCTGTCAGCCTCGTCTAGTACTAGACAATCAACGGCCTGCAACCTCTCGTGAATCGGGCCTCGCACCAACCCAAATGGGGCCCCAAAGCCGTCCCTGCCTCCCGAGTTCCTGTCGCTGGCATCGTTGGCAACGTCGTCCCCCCCTTCACCGCCGGGTGAATCTGGTGATGCAGATAATGCAGGTGCTTCGCCGCCCTCCAGCCCTTTCTCACGCTGCAGCAAGTCTGCAAGCCTGCCAGGAGTGGCCAGAACGACGTGGGGAGCTTGCTGCTGCAGCGCCTCTGCCTCAACCATCATATCTCTTCCACCTGTAACCTCCACCCACCTCAAACCTAGATGCTGTCCGTACACACCAAATTGCTCTCCTACTTGAGAGACAAGTTCCCGTGCCGGTAACAGCACGACAGACATAAACGTGTGCCCCATCCCACGCTGGATTCGCTGAAGCACAGGTAGCAAGTAGCAAAGAGTTTTGCCAGTCCCAGTCGGGGCTATGGCGCAGAAATCGTGACCGGAGAGGCCCAACGGCAGAGAGCAGCGCTGAACCGGGGTTGGCTCCAACAACGACAGATGGTGTAAAACGGAGCAGAGGGAGTCACAAACACCCAGTGACCTGAACGTTACATCTTGATTTTCCGATCCTGTATCTGCTGCTTCTGATTCCCGTCGTGTCGCTCCAAGCAGTTCGTGATTAAACAACTGCGGCTCCTTTTGCTGGTCTGCAGCTGCAACCCGATCACTGGATCCCGAAAGGGATTCCCCCGTGACTATGGGCCCCCCTGCCTCATTTGAAGGGGTCTGTGGCCCAAAGGAGGAATTCGAAACACCCACGCCCACCTTCTGAACTCGTTTTCTCTTGCACTTTGGAGGCCTAGGGCCCCCCCCACTCGTCGGAGAGGCCTGGAGCGGAAGGCGCCTCGAAAGCGCCATGGAGTGCTTCAGCTACACGACGGAAGACAAAATGAACCAGAACCCACATGCAGTGTATGGCGCACAAAGGCACAAAATATACTGAGCGGTGGACGGCGTGAAAAGTGTATCACCGGAACTACTCGATTCACCTACCAGGAATCGGCAAAACTGCGGGGTGAAGGAACTAAAACCACCAGGCTGAAGAGTCTATCTTGCAATCAATCAATAACCGGAGCACATCATTTTTATTGTTACAGAAGCTAACTACTAATTAACTATTCTCCCTCATATGGGGCTGGAGCTGCGTGTAGCCGCTCTTCGTTGTCGGGGCCCCCTCGTTGCTGTACTTGCCCCAGCGGGGCATCGAGCGAGCTCCACGGACACCAGTGTTTGAAAGGCATGAGAAAAACAGTATATTTGTGTGTATTTGTGGGCTGATAGATGCATATTCTTCAGCATGAATTGATCTTCCTACAGCCCTTTCTCTCCGACCCTTGAAATGCTGCGTGGTCAATGGTTCATGGCTTATCACTGGTCGAGCGCTAGTGGCCCTTTTATGCGTGACTGGCTAATGCCCATGATATCTGCTTTTGGACTAGGATTCTTCTATGGTAAACTTACATCTGATAGCCAGAATGCGCAGACACCTTCAGTCGTCGCACCAGTGAGACCAGTTGAATTAGAATCGATAGTGCATCCCTATTTGCGCAAAACTTCACTCGGGAATATGCTGAGCTTTCTGTTTGGTCGCAGTGTAACCACAGCAGTGCCACCCAATATTTATGTTACAGTTGCATATTTCCTTGTGTTCTGTCTTTAAGACGTGCATACAACACATCATTCTGGTGCTATTTCCGTCAATACGCCATCCGTAGTGGTTTGGACGGGACGAGGCACTCCCAGCAGAGAAAATGGCAAAGCATTAACATGCCTTTCTCCCTGTTACGTACAGCCAGCGAAATACCAGTTTGCACTCCGCTAGTCAGGATTCATGTTAACCCTTAATTACACCCGACACCGTAAGCGGCTCCAGCGTCTTCTGACGCATTAGTCCCTTTGTTCCTGAATGTAGAACGCGGTTCTTCCATGTAGGCAGGTAGGCGTAGGGTAGTGTGCAAAGGGGCCTCACTCCATAGGACGTCTATCAGCTAGCTCGCTAGGATTGCTTCCTAACAGGGACGAACGTGAAGCACTGCCTTCGGATTCAGTGTTTCCAAGGGAATGCGAACAGGGCCCTCCTGATGGGAATCTCGATGAGCTCTTCGTCGTCTGTTATTTCATTAGGGATGTACTGTCTTAGACTAGGAACCCATTGGAGCGCCTATTGCAACCTTCAGAAGAAATCCCATTAGAGCAACTGTACCCCTTTCGTTTGTTACCAGGCTTTCCCGATCTCTGCATCTTCGGCTCCTTGCAGTGTAGGGGAGGAGCAGCCGCCCCTCGCCGCGGCGCATACAGTAGTTCCGAATAGTAGATTATAGTGTGTTTGTTGCAGACTCGTATTTCTGCTCCCGCCCATACATCTTTGTTGCAATCCTAAGCCTAATGACCGTGCCAACAGTCATTCCGTGTACCCCGCCCTAAAACCGAAATGCTTTCGACATGCCAAAAGCTAAATGCCCGCCGGCCACATGTGTGGACCCGGAACAATGAAGGCTAAACCATTATAGAATGACAATAGCACAGTTCGCGTGTCTAAACCGACCAACAGCCATACTGAGAAGGGTTTGTTTATCTGTCCTCTTTCGTGGGCTAATCGAAGCGCCTGCATAAGAGCTCCACGAAATCCAACAGGCTCAACCTCGTGGACGCATGGGTCAAGGGCAACTGGGGGAACATAGAAGTGTACATATACTGGTGCAAAAACGCAACTGCAAAACTATCCTGTCCAAATAAGAGCAGCTATGCAATCACAGCCGTTTAACACCAGCCGAGTTCCAGCAGTTCTGCTTCTGCGACCTTACATACTTGCAATTGTCGCCGCTTCCGCTGTTAGACACGCTACGCTAGGCGTTGCTGGTGCTGCAGCACCTGCTGATGCTGTTACAAACGACGACAACTAAAGACGCGGAGATGACTGTGCATATCATTGTGTGTGGCTCAAGTCAGTTTCCTTCGCCGCAGCTGAAGGCGTTGGTGTGTTAGGTTTGAGGTTTTTTCTGAGTAACTCTGGCAAGCAAGAATCATCATCCCCACCAAACAGTTTCCTTCTCCTTGGTCCGCGTGTCGAGTTGTTTCCATTCCTATCATCATCATCATCATCATCATCATCATCACCACCATTACCACTTTTCCCCTTCTCTTTCTTCTTCCTAGCGTTTGTATTTTCTTCATCATCGTCCGTTTCTTCTGCATCCTTGGTACGAGCATTCTTCTGTACCTGCTGCTGCGTGCTGTTGCCGTCCGTTCCTTCGTTCTTGCCTGCGGCACTGACGGCTTCGTCACCGGCGTTCCTAGCACCACTGGTCGGTGTGGACGTGCTTCGGAGGTCGCCGGAAATCCTCCCTGCCCCGGAGACCTCCTTCTCTACAATACTGACCTTGGTGGGAAGAGCATTGATGTAGGCAGCCAGCTGAGCATCCGGCGGGAACGGCCTCTTGCCCAAACATTCCTGGAGATCCGCAAATGTGAGAGTTTCCTTCTCTAACAGCAGAGCACTCAAGGCATTCATCTCCTGAAGAAAAGTTACACACACAGACACACACACACACACACACACACACACACGTATATATATATATATATATACATGCAGTACCAGCTAAAGCAGC